GAACTGCTGAACTGCAGTCAGCTGAAGTAGCCTGCAGTGCTGCATTTAACCACTGCGGCACCTTGGCTCCTGATGCCCGATCTCCCCAGGTGTCAAGAGGACGGATCCCAGAACAGCCTCCTCGGGATCGGAGCTGCGCAACTCCCTTTCGTTTTTTCCGAAGGAGAATCCGCGCGCCCCCCCACCCCCAATTAGCGGGGGATCCCGATCCCAGGGCCAGGAGCGGATCGGCCGGAGCTGCTCTTGGCTGGCCCGAGTGACCGGAGACCTCGGCGGGTTTGGTTGAAGGGGCGGGGAGGGGAAGGCGCAACACCTCGCCCCCCACCCCTTCTCCAAAGGCTTGGGGCGGGGCGGAGGAAACGACGGGGCGGAGCTTGCTGGCCACCACCAGCCGCAATTAAAGCTGAACTTTGGATGAACTAATTGATGGTCCGGACCAAGATAAAGTGGGCAGCGACCTGGGGGCCAGGATGGGTATAAAAGGGGTCCCCGGAGCGGGGCTTAAGCCCTTGCACTCCGTCGCTCGGCCAGAGGGAAGGCGAGTCCCCGCTTCCCGCTGCCTCCGCTCCAGCCGTGGAAGCCAGGAGAGAGAGCCGCTGGAGCATGGGCTTCTCCTTCCTGCTGGCCTGCGCCTTGGGCACCCTCGTCCTGGTGCCCCTCTTCCTCTGCCTGGCCTCCATGAAGCTCTGGCACCTCTACTGCCTGCGGGGCCGCGATCCCGCTTGCCCCCTGCCGCTGCCCCCGGGCACCATGGGGCTGCCTTTCCTGGGGGAGACGCTCCAGCTGGTGCTGCAGGTAAGGCGAGGAGAGCGGCCGGCGGGAGAACCCCGCGCCCTCTCGGTTGGGGAGCCCCCCGGGGTCCCGGATCCAAGCGCCCGGGCTCCACTCCGCTCCCTTTCCTTCCCAGCGTCGGAAATTCCTGTCGATGAAGCGCCGGCAATACGGCCACGTCTACAAGACGCACCTCTTCGGGAGGCCGACGGTGCGGGTGATGGGGGTGGAGAACGTGCGGCACATCCTCCTGGGCGAGCACCGGCTCGTCGCCGTGCACTGGCCGGCTTCGGTGCGCATCATCCTGGGCTCCGGCTGCCTCTCCAACCTGCACGACGGTCAGCACAAGCATCGCAAGAAGGTGAGCGGGTTGCGTGGCCAAGCAGCCCTTTGGCCCTGCCGGCCGGGGGTTTAGGACGCGGGGAAAGGGCCTCTGGCTCTCTTAAAGGCGGCGGAAGCTTCGTCGCGGGATCTGGATTCCTAATGGTTAGAGAGGAGGTGCGCGCATCTGGATGAATGCATGNCCATCCCATGGTCCAATCTTCCACTGCCCTGCTGGCAGTTCCACCCATCTAGTTTTGGTCAGGTGCAGAGTTGCAGAGACAAAGGATGACCTTGGCTTTCTAGAAAGAATGTTGTTATGGCTGCATAGCATCTAACTCCATAAAATCCCCTCTTCCAGTTCCCCACAATAGAAAATGCATAGCAGAATAATAGAAAGTGTGGCAGGCCAAAGATCCCAAAAGAAGCGGGCTGCAGGCATGACACCGGGGTGGGGGGGGGAGATTCCGACGATCGCCGCACGATCCTTAGAAGCTTCCTCTCCCCCCCCCAATTTTTAAAAACATTATTTCCTTATTTCCTATTCGTCCAAAGCAGCAGAAAAAAAAGGCTTTAAACAGTGAAAAAATAATTGATGAGGATTTTATGTTTCATGTTTTGTTTGTCTTTGTTTAAAAATAAAAGTTTTCAAAAAAAATACATAAATAAAAAGTGTAAAAAAGTTGGCCACACACCCCCAGTCACATGACATCCCCCTCCAAGCCACGCCCACAGAACCAGTGGCAAAAAAAACCCTAGATTTCACCACTTATCTATGTTTAAAGAGGGATTCAGTTCCATAGTCGTGGTCAACATCTTCTTTTTTTAACCTCTCCCCATCTGGCCACCCACAGACACCCCCCCTTGGTGTCACCGACCACGCAGACAGCGGTTCCGACGTAAGCTGGAACAATTGCAGGTGGAGGTTAGGATCAGGGCAGGCAGCCGAAAACGCCTGTAGCTCCAGGCGTTGCTCATGTTATTATTTTTAATTTACAAGGATGTTAACCTTCCCTGCAAGAAAGAGGCTCATTCCCCGACAATATATTATATGTTGGGTCAGCAGAAGCAAACGCGAATTATTATTCTTTTGCATCTCCTCCACTCCGCTTGTATTGTTATTATTATTTTGCAGTTCCGCAGGCACCATTGTCAGTTTTTCAAGCGAATCTGCACGGGTTCAAGAAGATCTCTGCATCAAGATGGGTAGCTGATGTGTCTCTGTCAGCCAGGGGCTTTATCTAACCCTGAGTTGCTGAGTGCCAGATGGAGAGAGAAGGCAGATTGGGGAAACAATGCAATACAATAGCAGAGTTGGAAGGGACCTTGGAGGTCTTCTAGTCCAACCCCCTGCTTAGGCAGGAAACCCTATACTGTTTCAGACAAATAGCTATCCAACATCTTCTTAAAGACTTCCAGTGTTGGGGCATTCACATCCTCTGGAGGCAAGTTATTCCACTGATTAATTGTTGTCACTGTCAGGAAATTTCTCCTTACTTCTAAGTTGCTTCTCTCCTTGATTAGTTCCCACCCATTGCTTCTTGTCCTACCTTCAGGTGCCTTGGAGAATAGTTTGACCCTCCCCCATCTTTTCTATGGTAGCCCCTCAAATATTGGAAGATGCTATCATGTCATCCCTACTCTCCAAAGCACCTGAAGACAAGACAAGAAGCAAAGGATTGGAAACTAATCAAGGAGAGAAGCAACTTAGAACTAAGGAGGCATTTCCTGACAGTGAGAACAATGAATCAGTGGAACGACTTGCCTCCAGAAGTTGTGAATGCCCCAACACTGGAAGTTTTCAAGAAGAGATTGAAACAACTATTTGACTAGGATGGTATAAGTCTCCTGCCTCGATTGTCTGGAATCTTCTGGAGAACCTCTACGGCTAGCCACAGAAAGTTCTCTGAGTCCTCCAGAAATTCAACCTAGGAATGAGAAGAAATTTTCTGACCTTGAGAACAGTCAACCCGATGGAACAGAAGTTGCCTTCGGAAGTTGTGGGAGCTTCATCACTGGAGGCTTTCAAGAAGAGACTGTCAGAGACTGGAGTTTGCTCAGAAGCGGAAATACACCAGGTGAAGGAGAGGAAGAGAGGGAAACAGAGGAGAGAAGAAAGATAGGAAGAGAGGGATAGGAGAGAGGTTAAGGGGGGAAGATGAGGAGGATACGGAGGAGTGGAATGAAGAGAGAGGAGAAGAAGAAAGGAAGCGGAAGTAGAGTAGAAAAGGAGGATGGAGGGAAGAAAGGATGTAGAAGAGTGGGAAGCAGAGGAGAGAAGAAAGATAGGAAGAGAGGGATAGGAGAGAGGGTAAGGGGGGAAGATGAGGAGGATAAGGAGGAGTGGAATGAAGAGAGAGGAGAAGGAGAAAGGAAGGGGAAGTAGAGTAGAAAAGGAGGATGGAGGGAAGAAAGGATGTAGAAGAGTGGGAAGCAGAGGAGAGAAGAAAGATAGGAAGAGAGGGATAGGAGAGAGGTTAAGGGGGGAAGATGAGGAGGATACGGAGGAGTGGAATGAAGAGAGAGGAGAAGGAGAAAGGAAGCGGAAGTAGAGTAGAAAAGGAGGATGGAGGGAAGAAAGGATGTAGAAGAGTGGGAAGCAGAGGAGAGAAGAAAGATAGGAAGAGAGGGATAGGAGAGAGGGTAAGGGGGGAAGATGAGGAGGATAAGGAGGAGTGGAATGAAGAGAGAGGAGAAGGAGAAAGGAAGGGGAAGTAGAGTAGAAAAGGATGATGGAGGGAAGAAAGGAGGTAGGAGAGAGGCAGAAGAAAGAGGTGTATGGAGAGCAGAAGAGCTAATAATGGGTTTTTATCTTTCTGGGCGTTGATGGCAAGAGGAACTGATGTAATTACTACTTAATACAATAGGATATTGGCTATGTAATAGTATACATGTGATTATATGTTATGAAAATGAAAAATAAAAAATATATTTAAAAAAAAAGAAGAGACTGTCAGGAATGGTGTAAAGTCTCCTGCCCTACAAAGTTTTGGACTAGATGACCTAGAAGGTCCCTTCCATTAACCTACCTAAAAACATACACTCCTCCCCGTAGCCCGCATGGCATCCTAAAAAAAAGAACAACCTGTGTCATCACCCTCCCCCCCCCACCAGCCCTTGGAGCACATGACTCGTGATCCGACAGCCCGCCATTAATCAAAGCCCCAACGATGAGATAGCTTACAAAAATACAGTGCTAGCCGGTGCTTCATTTGTCGTCATTGATTTTCCCATCGCCGTTTATTACCCGTATTTGCTTCGTAAGCCTCCAGAAATAAACTCCACGGCCTGGCAGGAAAGGCCTCTGCTAAACCGCCTCCATGCCAGCCTCTTTCCCCACGGAGAAGACCAGCCAAATGGAGGTCGTGATCTCTGCCACGGGGGTGGGAAAACATCACGCGCTCCGTGCAGGAGAGGCTGTCGTTCAGCAACGGGTTACACGGCTAAGGATGCGCAGCAATGCAGATTCCCCCCCCTTTCTCTCCGGCACGCATAAACCCCCTGCACCCCAAGTTTCTAGTCCTTAATATTCCGTGGACGCTTTACGGGGCTGTCCGGGGAGACTGCTCCTCTAGGTCGCAAGCGGAGCCAATTGTGCAGACCGGAGGACAATTATCAAATTAATTGACCATTTTTTCATTTTGGGCCATTTAAGCAGGCGGCAAAGTCTTGCTTTCCTTGGTAGGGAATTTTTAATGTTTCTGTGTAGATTATGTGTCTTGGCTCGAGCGCCGGATAACCGATAGAGCCGTCACTCAGCAAATGAAAGATTAGTCAATTATTGGTCTGAGTCTTAGTCAATCAATTTAATTTTTTTTTTCAATTATATATGCCTGCGTTTGCAAGAGCTCAATCTGCAATATTTTGCTGCGGCTGGAAGCAAAGGACGAGACGGTGCCACTTCCTTTCCCCATTCCGGGGACAAAAATCAGGGTGGAAGTTGTTCTGACCGAGGCTTCCCAAGAGCCTGAAGCAAATTCCTTGTCCCGACAAAAAAACCTTTTATTAATTTGCTGTGAATTCTTCTCATTCACATCCAGCAAAGTCTTTCAAGGCAAGGCGTCTCGGAGAGTCAACAACCAATGAAGCAAACTAATTGTCTCCTGCAAACTCCACTCCCCTTTCGCTCCTCTTTTATTCCCTCTGGGAGGGGC